AGAACGATGAGTACTGCGCAATTCGATTCGCTTCTTGAGATCTTCCTGTCGTGGAGCGTGATGGCTTTATCTTGCCTGAAGCGTCTTTTCAGCTTTCAGCGGTCGAAGCTGCTGCAAAAAAGACACTTTTCTTCCTCGACTTCCGAGGCGATATAAGTTACACTTTATTGAATTCTGATTCGACATTTTCACCATCATATTCAACAACACATTGTATACTATCACGATTCTCCACCACAGCCTTGTGGACGAACGCCATCGAGAGATCCTGCCAAGCGACCGTGCCCATCCTGCTGCGCAACACCTTCCATTTCAAGTAGGTGAGAGTTTTTCAGCGCCCTCCGATTCCATGTATTGACACCCGATCCTGTAGCAGTACGAAGTTTCTAAGGGGGTACAGACGACAACATGAAGGCAGGAGATTCTCCTCGAGCTGTTCGATGTAACAGTCAGCGCTCATTTCCAGTCCCACGAAGAAAATATCGGTCTTCTCATTCCAGAAACCGCCGGTCCATACCATCAACGCGCGCTTTGGCGACTGCGGTGAAGACATATCCTAGACCACGGCGACGTTGTCGGAGCTGCCGGTGTTGAGAGTCTTCCAGATCAAGAGTGCTGGTCTCCAGTAGCTATCCTTGGGTGACCTGACTCCATACTAGGTTTCGCAGCTTTTGGGGTGACATGAATTCCAAAGGTCTTCTCCAGTCAGGCTGCGACTGGAGATGACTTCATATTTTCGGTGTACATGAAGGTGATGGGCGAGGGCCAGCTCCTGCTTATCGAGGAACATCTTGGGTATCTTCGCCCTGGTACTCGTATCCACGTCGTCTGTCTGGGCTGCGAAAAAACTTTGCTGATATGTGACTCGCCTCGAAAAGGTTTTTGCCCCCCCCCTCCCTGTATAGTAGACATTTTCGATTTTGCTTTGAGATCGGCAACCATCCTCCATCCTAATGGACTCATCTCGGAAGAGCGACAATTTCAGAGGATTTTTGTTTTCATTTGGATTAAATTATAAATACTTACAACACTACAAAAAGTGTAGATGTTACAATAGACTATACCAATATTATATTTTCCATGTTTCTTACTAATCTCCTCCCACCGATCAGCCAGCTTTTCAGTGCCTTCTCGGTGACTGACATGAAGGCAGAATATTCTCTTTGAGTTGCTCGATGTAACCGCCAGCGCTCACCTTCAGTCCAGAGTCCACGAAGAAAATATCGGTCTTTCCATTCAGGTACGTCCGGCCCATACCATCAACCCGCCTTGGCCGACTGTGGAGATGATATCCTGGACCGTAGCGACGTTGCCGGAGCTGCTCGATGTTGGGGGGGAGGTCTTTCCAGGAGCACTAGTCTCCAGGTAGCTCCATGGGTGGCCCAGTTTTCGTGTTGGATGTGACGTGAAAATGCTGTTTGAGTGACGGTGAATTCCAAAAGCCTTGCTCCAGTCAGGCTGCGATTGCAGTGACCATGAAGGCTGACATGGGACCGAGAGCCTGCTTTGTCCTACTCGACGAACATCTTGCGTATCTTGCGCCCTGTACTCGCATCCACTTCTGCCTCTGCCTGCAGAAACGTTACTGGATAATGTACTCGCCAAAGTGTCTTTTCTACACATCCCTGTATATAGGGTCGAATGTGTTGTGTTGGGGCACAATGTGGGGTTAGGTGGAAATTGTTATTTTTCTCTTGGTAGACTCAACTATGGCAGCTTTCGCAACCACAGTAACTGTTGTTAGAGCAGCCTAAAGGACTCCAAATGCATAGCGCGATTGATGAAAAAGAACAACAAAACAACAAACAAACAAAAGGCAATATTGTAAAATATTAGCCTGACGAATAAAAGTGTTTTGAGCATCCTGAAATAAAATTGGCCGACTTTCGTCTGACTTAACAGTTAAGGAATATTTTGAAGCTCTTTTGTCAAGCTAACAAGGTCTCCTTATGAAATAGTCTCGGAAACTATTGTCACAAAATACGTGTCGAGTGCAACGAAAAGAAAAATGAAAAAAGTGCAGAAAAACACGATCAAATAGAGGGCAGTAAGGCTTCACACTGCAGCGTAACAGTACCATTCAGAATGGCGTATTGCCACCTTCAGTGACTTTTATAGCCCTGTAGCGCCCTAAAGGGTCAACTTAATTTCCTGATCTAGGTGTACAGTCGTGATCCCTGCGAACGAACGAGTGTTTAAAGGGGCATCAAATTGAAGGCACCGAGGGCAGCTTTTCCGCCACTCAGGATTGTACCGTTGATAGACAAGGCTATCCTGGCGGCGGTCCAATACACGCCCCATCACACGCCTAATCCGTTTGCAGGGATCATCACTAAAATTTTCGCTGGTATGCCAGACGATTCGTGGAAACCTGAAAAATCTAGTAAAACTCTGGAATGGTACGGGTTCACCTCCACCCAACCCTTTCACCCATCTCTTTAATTTTTTCCCTCACATTAGGAGATTTTCAGTGCAGCAACGTGTCAAGAAACCATTGCGACCCAAGGGTAAGAGATTTTTCTCAAGCCCCGGCCAAGGAGCTCCGGAGTGGGAGAACGAAGTTATGGAAAAGGTAGTTCAAAGTAATACTATAGGCATTTCGAGGCTCCGCAGGAATATTCAGGTGTACCAACTACTCCTCCCCCCCCAACTCCCCACTGTCTCTCTCCGGCTATGTGGTAATCCAGTGAGACTTCCACGGAAGTTATTCGAACTTGGACCTCATAAGAAGAGCTGCTGTAGATCATATAAACATATTCGTTTCAATGCGTTGTGAACGCGAAATGCGTTCTAGAAGAGTTAATAACCCTTCCCTGAAAGCTGACGTTCTCGTTTCAGTAATGTTATCGCCATCAATACATGTGAAACGGAAAGCCAGTAGCAGTGACCTTCACGAGGTTTGTTGGAAAATTCGACTTTTCAAAAAATGTTTCTCGCAGATCCCTCTCAGACCTTATTATTAAGTAGAAATTGTACTACCGTTCAAAAAGTTCAAAGAGACGAAGAGCCAGGGTACTGTCTCCTTGCCCGTCGAACACACCTACTAAAGCATTAGTTCACCCATGCAATCGCAATATTATTCAAGAGTCAAAATAAGTGTAACTGTCTGAAAGCTTTGAAATGTCTTCGTTATCCACACCAGACAAAAAGCTTACAAGTTTGAGCAACTCGTACCGTACGGCCTTACCACGCAACAGCGCTTGATGACGTAGCCCTGAGGGTCCTTGCTTGGAGTTTCAACTGGCTGGCTAATGAGTTCAAGCAAGATGAGAAGTGCTGCTATGTCGACTATAAGACGAAGTGCCGGAACATGAAATAAAACTAAAACCCCACCTACTGGAGGTGTTGCTGCACATTTGGTCTAGTCTCCTCGACAATACTCCGTGGGAACTTCCCAGGAAAATGTCATCATCACCACAGAGAAGCTGCTGCCAGCTGCTAAAAGAAACGGATGAAACCCACAGGGTCACGGCTGGAAGTGGGCAAGTTCACCATTGCAAAACAACGCGAAACCACGTACGGCAAAACCGACGTATCTCCAAATCCAACCTTTAGGAACAGAAGTTTTTACCGTAACACCATGTAGTTCGGTCATTTCGCTCACTGTCACCTCCACATCCGGTCGGACATCACAATGTTTCAATAGAGTTCTCCTTAGGATTACATATAGTTATACAACAATGTCGAATTCAATGGATTCCTCCCAGACGCATTACCATCATTCTCTCCATCTCCCGAAGGAATAGGGAGGAGGTGCAGAAGTGGGGAACAAAAACGACATGATACAAACCATCCCATCAAATCGTTGGCAGACTTCATGGAAGGCTTAAGGCAATATGTTCCTAAAATACTCGTCTACAAGCGGGTTTTCTGCCTCCGCCACTACGACACTTACAGGAAGGTGAGGACGCTCAGTGCTCTGGACGGACAGCTTTCAGTTTTTGCTTCCACCTCAAGCAGCTAAC